CCACTTCTATAAGTTGAAAGGAGACTGCGACCATACCCAAGGCCACAACATCTTGGTCTTCACATCTTCAAAAGAATATAGAATTTTTTGTCAAAAAAAATGTTTTTTTTAATTAATCGCCTATTATGCTGCACTCTCGCCAATTGTCTGTTAGATGGATATGTAGAGAGAATGAGTCTTCTATCAGAAATGGGAGTGCTGCATTCAGTAGACGATGGCCGGAGGGGCGTATCGTGTCAGAGCACTTAAAAGTGGGAAAAGATATACACATTCTGATGTTTTCCCAAATAAGATACAGCGTTATTCAGATGTGCTAAATGAAGCCGCTTTCAGAAAACGAATAAATATTATATTATGTATGTGATTTCAACTGTTTGCTCCACTAGCCACGAAATTTTAATTTATTTTTTAAGTAGACATTCAACAGGATGAAATATATTCGACTCTCATAGGCCCATGTTATTCGACTCAAAAGCTGAGCACCCTGGGTTCGAGCCCCGCCAAGAGTGCTAAATATATCTGAAAACCAATCTCGACGAATTTTTAAAGGGATGCAAAAGATAACTCGAATAAAGTTTCTAAAGATAGCTTCTTTAAATCCGTCTAGGCTACAAAGCGATGTATGTAAATTGCCTCATTCGGCAGAGTTAAATATTATAGCTTTCTTATTCCGAGTAAAAAAACTCAATCGTCACACCATCCGGACTAAAAGCGAATTTGCTTCACTGTTAACATTTCGAATAGTTTAAGATTGAATAAGGTAAACATTCGCAATTTCTTGCTCAAAAACCAGTTTTAATCTTTATATTCCACGTAATTATGACTAGATGACACCCAAAATCAACTAGCTTGTAACTTGTTCTGCACCAATTATTACTCAGATACCATTTATTCCTTAGGGAATCTGTTTGCTCTAAGCTCTGTTGCTCATCACTCAATCCATTTATAAATAAAAAAAATTTATTTGAACATCCTTGCTGCCTTTGGGATCCCAATCACTCAATTATAAATGGCTATTTATTAGTAGAAAGTAGAGAGTTGGTAGGATAGAGCACGAATAAAAAAGCTGTAATTTGAGGAAGTTTACTTAATATCCCCTGGGTCTAGCTAGCGCTCTCGGCAACATCCAGACTTAATTCTTTTTTGTGCAGAAACGGTTCCGTTCTGAGAATGCAGTCAAGTCTAAAGAGTCACAGTCGGCGAATATGATTCACAAGTAGACTCGACAATCTAAAATAAAATATTTACTGAGTATATACAATTTTAAATTCTAATAATCCGCTTTAAATTTGATGCTTATGATCGGTGATGAAGTTCAATTTTGATCAAAGCTGAGGCACGACTAAGAGAATTAGGAGAGTTTACGATTAGAAATGTGTTTTCCGTAAACATACTACAAAATCTAGGAGCGTATAGGAATTTTTGTTATTTCCAAGCTACTCTAAGTGCAGCGTGGCCAGTCATTTTCAGCCAATTATTGCTCTCAGCCAGACAGGAATCTTGAGTGTACAAAAATAAAGAATTTTTGCACAACGAGCTTCTTTTAACTAATGACAAGAATAATTTTATCTTTCAAGTTCAATTATAATTGAAAAGATTTATGGTCCAGATTTGCCCGCATTGAAATGAGTAGGCCTCAAACTGTCAATGACTTTCAATTAGTCATGCCGCTCATAATGTTTTCGCATCCCGACTTGATTGAAATTTAGCTCTCTTCTCTCCTTTTCCACTTTTCGGCCCTCCAAAGGGATTCGAACCCAGGTCGCAGGCGTAGGTGCCAGGAGATCACAGTGCAAATATAACTTTTAAGGCATGCTCATTTTACAGTTCGGATAGCTGATATTTTTGACAAATACTCATATCAAACATAAGTAGTGTCGTCGATTATAATGGAAAATTTGTGTTTTCCTTATCGACAATCCCACGTTAAAAGGCTAGTTATGCAAAGCCACGTTTTCAATGAGATTCACAGCTCTCATATGAACGACTAAAAACCACGCTCTGATTGCGAATCCTGTTAGTACTACTGACGAGACAGCACCAGATAAAGTAAAATTCAGTGGCATCAAGAAGTTTGGTCATTTCGATTTGAGACACATTTTTACTATCCGACTTCAAATCGTCTTGGACGATTTAGGATGACCAAGTTCTTATTCTTAAATGTGCCAGACCATCAAATATTTTTGTAGTAGGGTTGATTTGGCCACTGTTCCACCTCGATTCATTGACAAAGTTATCATTTTTCGTGTATTGAGGATGGCAGCGGTTTTCCCATTCCCAATGCCATGTACGAAGGCAAGTTGATCCTTACTCGATATGAGATTCGAATCCCTCCTTCCGCCCAATCAGAGTCGCCGTCCACGAGTCCGGAACCTACCCGGACATCGAGCGTGAGGGTCTGCACGTGGAGCCCGGGAAGCTGAACGAGATCACGTACCAACCGGTCCACTGGCATCGTCTCAACACTCCGGTCTATCCCTGTCGAGAGGAGCCGACGGCCATGTCCGGCCAACCGGTCGACGACAAAGACGGCCACCGAGCCGACTCGGCAGCTCGTGGCCGGTTCTCCGACCAGACGGACCTGGTGACGGGACTCGAATTGCCGTCGCACGTCAACCTGAGCTATCCCTATGCCTTCATGGACCTAGAGATACCGTATCGGTACACTCAGGCTCAATGCATCCTGCTCCACGTGCAGAAGGCGATTGT